GAATATCTCTTTATCTCTACTCACTCCTTAAATAATCTCATCCTCTTGCCTTCCTTTGAGATAGTTTAGTTTTGTCTGTTTTTTATAGTTTTGCTAAATAGAAGAGAATTCTATAATTGGTACTGGTTAAAATTTGGTTCACCAGAATAAGGAGTTAGTGTTTTTTCCTTTGTGAATTCTCTGGCCGAATTTCATGATCTCAAAAAGTACAAATGTTAATTTTTGAAAAAAAAACCTTTCTGCATACATATATATGCAGATTTGGGCCCCCAGCATTTTCTACCGTGAATGTCTAATTATGTATTTGCTTCCTATTCATTACAAGTCAGATTGAGAAGAAGTGAGTGGGGTATACCTCTGAAAGTTAAGACACATAATCAGTGGTGTTCAGAACACTATGATGTTGGTTGAGACTGTAGAATCAGCTAAAGTTGAAGGGTGTTGAGATCCATCTGAATTTGTTCTTTACTGAATGTCTCTAGTTTTACAGAGCTTTGTGAAAATATATGTCCATTTAAAAATGCAAATGTATTAGTAGCATTTTTGTTGATGATCTTTACCTTTTATATAACATTTAGTAAACTGCAATAGTACTTAAATTAATTACTGTAAATAAACATGATCAATAGTTCTTGATATATAAGAGTAAGGATATAGGGTTTCCCATTATAACCTGTGGGCTAAAATTTTGAGAGATTCATGCTTTCTGGTTACATGTGCTAATATCAATCTTATAATATCTATGCGCCTAATCAGTCTTATTTGATATCTTTATGTTACAAGTGTTTCTCTAAGTAGTGGAACTAACCTATGTTTCTCATTTTTCCCCCAGTTTTAAGTTTGAAGATTGTCTAGTATTATATACATCATAGTAAGCCCCTTCCTTCCTGTATTAGTCTGTTTCTGCTTATAGCAGAAATACCTAAAACTGGGTAATTTGTAAAGAAACTATTAATTGCTTGCAGCTTTGGAGGCTGGGAAGTCCAAAGTTCAGAGAACACGTCTGGTGAGGGCCTCGTTCTTGGGTGGTGATTCTTCACAGCACCACAGGGTGTCACGTGGCAAGAAAGGTGGAGCAGAGACAGAGAGAGCTTCTCACATGCTCTCCTTTTACAGCCATCAGAACCACACCCATGACCACCATTAAACCATTAATGGATTAATGCATTCACTAGGGCATGGTCCTCACAATCTAATCACCTCTTCAAGTCTCTACCTTTCAGTTACCAAAATAGGATTTCCCACCCTCTTAACACAGTCACAGTGAGGATTAAGTCTCAGTGGGCTTGCAGGAGGGACATCTAATCTGCAGCACTTCTAACTTCTGTAGATACAAATATGTGCCATTGCTTTGAACTATTAAAAGCACGGTTTCTTAAGCATGGTTTCTTGACCACATTTCAAAAAACATTGGCAGAATATACTCCTAGAGTCATAAATATGTTCATATCCTTTGGCCTAATTAACTATCTTAAAGAATTTATCAAATGAAAATAATTCACATGAAAAATACTCACTACCTAATATTAAAAAATTATATGTAAAGCAACAATAAATATCCAAATGTAGGGAAATTATTAGATATAGTTTGAAGATCAACCCTATAGATTATTTTGTACTAAAATTATAAACTTGAATACTGTATAGCAACATATAAAAGTGTATAACACTTTATACTATATAAATGTAGTATAAGATTGTTAATTAAGAATTTTTTTTGTATTTACTATTTATAACTGTCAATTATGTCAATTATGTTTGTATTTTTCCCAAGTTGGCAAAGTTTATTTTTTTATTTTATTTTTTTCTCTTCTTGATCAAAATGGTTTCCATTTATTAAATATTTATTTATTTATTTTTTTTAAATTGTAGCATGATTGATTACACATATTTTGGGGGGTATAATATTGACTGCCATCACCTGTGTACAACATGTATTGATCAAATCAATATTATTAGCATGTTATTATTACAAATTAAAATTGTGCTTTATGCCACTTACCCAATCTCTCCTCACCCCCTGTCCCCACTAGTGTCATTTACGAATTCTTGTGAAAGGTGACTGAAAAAGAAAATACAAAAATAAAACATTTAGTACTGGGATTATGAGTATTTTTTACTTTTAAAAATATCCTACTATGCTAGCCAACAAATAAATATTGAGACAAATAAAAAAGAGTTTAAAATGCATTTAAGTTTTACCAGCCAGTGATTTCTTTTTTATTAAATAGGTTTGGGTACATTCTCAGGCTGGTTTGATCATTCCACAACACTTAAATTACATTGTTATTTGGGAAATTGAATCCAATATCCAAATGTAGGGAAATTATTAGATATAGTTTGAAGCCCAACCCTATAGATTATTTTGTACTAAAATTATAAACTTGAATACTGTATAGCAACATATAAAAGTGTATAACACTTTATACTATATAAATGTAGTATAAGATTGTTAATTAAGAATTTTTTTTTGTATTTACTATTTATAACTGTCAATTATGTCAATTATGTTTGTATTTTTCCCAAGTTGGCAAAGTTTATTTTTTTATTTTATTTTTTTCTCTTCTTGATCAAAATGGTTTCCATTTATTAAATATTTATTTATTTATTTTTTTTAAATTGTAGCATGATTGATTACACATATTTTGGGGGGTATAATATTGACTGCCATCACCTGTGTACAACATGTATTGATCAAATCAATATTATTAGCATGTTATTATTACAAATTAAAATTGTGCTTTATGCCACTTACCCAATCTCTCCTCACCCCCTGTCCCCACTAGTGTCATTTACGAATTCTTGTGAAAGGTGACTGAAAAAGAAAATACAAAAATAAAACATTTAGTACTGGGATTATGAGTATTTTTTACTTTTAAAAATATCCTACTATGCTAGCCAACAAATAAATATTGAGACAAATAAAAAAGAGTTTAAAATGCATTTAAGTTTTACCAGCCAGTGATTTCTTTTTTATTAAATAGGTTTGGGTACATTCTCAGGCTGGTTTGATCATTCCACAACACTTAAATTACATTGTTATTTGGGAAATTGAATCCTAGTTAGTTACCTCAGAAAATAACATGGAACTTTGAGAGTTGGAAAGGTTTTTGCTCCCGATGCAGGGAGTGTGTGAGGTGACAATGTACATTTCATTCTAGCTGCCTTTTCTGTCTTTCCTGCAGTCCACATACTTCTTATTGGCCAAGATGTGTCTGCTCTTTACTGCTGGAATTCGGAACTGAATCAATTCTCTTTTGTTCTGGAAGCACCTTCTGCTTATGATGCAGCTTCTATTACAGTAAAGTCTCTTAATTCAAGCAAGAATTTAATTGCTCTAGTGGGATCTATGTACTCACATATATATGAGCTGGCCTACATCTCCAGCCCATCTGACTTTATTCCTAGGTAGGTCCAACTTTATGCCAAGTGTCTTTATGCTTACCATAATTTTGTATCACATCTAATTTCTAAGTCTTTGTTTTGTGACTGAAAAAATGTACAAAATATAAGAGCTATTTATAAGCCAGTATTTTGGTATTATCTATATTTCTAATGTCTGTTTGACCAAGTTAACCAGTATTATATGAATATTTTGGATTAAAATTTATTTATGAAATGTTGCAATTTTTCCAAACCTTTGTCTTAAATTTTTTGAAGTTGACCTATTTTATATATACTTCTTATGCTAGTTCAGGTGAACTGATATTTGAACCTGGTGACAGAGAAGCTATAATCGCAATAAATATCCTTGATGATACAGTTCCAGAGGAAGAAGAATCCTTCAAAGTACAGCTGAAAAATCCCAAAGGAGGAGCAGAGATTGGTAATGGTGGTTATGTAAAAATAACCATTCTATCTAATGATGATGCCTATGGAGTTGTTGCATTTGCTCAGGTAATGATACCAAAGATCCCACACTTACAAGTCAAAATGATTTATCTTTCTATTTATATATTGCCTATTATCAGCACTCAGTGAGTCAAACATTGAGCATCTTAAGCCTCTCTCTCTTTTGTTTTCCCTGATTCACCTCCTATTCTACATTCTAAGGTGGATTCTACTGACAGCTTACAATTTATAGTCTTACATACTGGACTATCTGAGTCAACTTGTCCTAATCTTTTTTTTTGGTACTGATTCTTTTTATAGGATTGCATTTGAAATGTTACCAGTTGGTCTTGGCCCCAGAGTTTGGCTCTCTATTTGCCCTGTTCCTGAGGACTATTATGCCTTTGTTATTTCGGGGGGGGGGGGGGGGGATTGAAAGAGA